AAAGAGAAAAAAATAAAATGAAATTTAATGGGGCCAAACGAGGCTATGAACACTTGAATACATTGATTTTGAAATAGAAATGAATAAAAGAAGAATCTGTCTATTCACTATGAAATAATGAACGACTGACAATAAATGAAAAAAAAAAAATTCTTTTTTTTTATTATTTTATTATTTTTTTCCTTCTAATTTCCATAACCAAATCTCGTCTCCTCATGTTTGTATAATAACATCGCTATTGTAATTCTAAATAATTTTGCAACCAAGCCATGACAAATGAATACACATTAAATATATGTATAGAAAAAAAAAATCAAAATGATTTCTTTCAAAAAGCTAGTTAAAGAAGTCTGCGATATGACTTAATCCATTTTTGCAATAGACATTGCCGTAGTCCATATATGTCAAGCCATTATTAATACTTTCATAATGAATGAGGATCTTATCATCATACATTGGTTTGTTAATTATTGGCCCACCTCAACAATAAACAACAAAAGCTTTTGATAACAAGGTTACAATTAGACATATTTTAGCACAGTCTAACCATATATTTGGTTAAATAACCTCCACCCAATATTTCTTGATCAAATGGCTTTCAATTTTAAAAAAATCTCAAAAACTATTTTCTTTTTTGATTTTTTTTTTTTAAATTTCCATAATCAAATCTCATATCCATGGCTCTAGGTTGTAAAATAACATCACTATTGTAAGTCTAATTATATGGAGAGAAAACGATAGGCACATTTCGTATTCACAAAAGTGAAGAATTTACATCTAAAATGAAGAAGATTTTGTTGATTCATTTCTAGATCAAATTGATACATTATTCATTTTGTATTGGAATTTTACAATCTAGCCATGACGAATGAATACACGTTAAATATAGGTATAGGGAAAAAAATCATAATGATTTTCTTCGAAAACCCAGTGAAACAATAGAATCGAAGTCTAAGACATGACATAGTCCATTTCTGCAGTAGGCACTATCATATATTTCAAGTCATGATTAATACTTTCATAACGAATGAGGCTCATAGCATCATATGTTGTTTTCGTAATTATCGGCCCACCTCCACAATAAACAATAGAAGCTTTGACAAGAGAACCAGGAATATTTTATCCTAGTCAAACATGTATTTGGTTAAATAACCTCCACCCAATGTTTCTTGATCTAATGGCCTTCAATTTTAAAAAAATCTCACAAACTAATTTTTATTTTTATTTCCATAATCAAATCTCATCACCTCATCTTCAGGTTGTATAAAAACATCACTATTGTAATTATAATTAAATAGAGAGAAAAGGATTGGCACATTTTCGCATTAACGAAAGCGAAGAATTTAGATCTAAAATGAAGAAGGTAAGGTTGATTCATTTCTAGATCAAATTGATACATATTTCATTTAGTACTGGAATTTTGCAACCTAGACATGACAAATGAATACACGTCAAATATATGTATAGGGAAAAAATATCATAATGATTTATTTCAAAAGTCAGTGAAACAATAGAAGTCTGCAATATCACTTAGTCCATTTTTGCATTAGGCACTACCATACATGTCAAGCCATGATTAATAATTTCATAATGAATGAGGCTTATAGCATCATACATTGGTTTCTTAATTATCGGCCGACCTCAACAATAAACAATAAAAGCTTTGATAAAGAGGTCACAACTAGGCATATTTTAGCGTAGTCAAACATGTATTTGGTTCCAATGTTTCTTGATCAAATGGCCTTCAATTTTAAAAAACTCTTACAAACTATTTTTTATTTTTTATTTCCTTAATCAAATCTCATCTCCTCATCTTCAAGTTGTATAATAACATCACTATTGTAATTCTAATTAAATAGAAAGAAAAGGATTGACACATTTTCGCATTAACAAAAGCGAAGAATTTAGATCTAAAATGAAGAAGGTACTGTTGATTCATTTCTAGATCGAATTGATACATATTTCATTTAGTATTGGAATTTTGCAACCTAGATATGACAAATGAATACACGTCAAATATATATATAGGGGAAAAAAATCATAATGATTTCTTTCAAAAGTTAGTGAAACGATAGAAGTCTACGATATGACTTAGTCCACTTTTGCACTAGGCACTACCATATATGTCAAGTCATGATTAATACTTTCACAATGAATGAGGCTTATTGCATCATACGTTGGTTTCTTAATTATCAGCCCACCTTATCAATAAACAATAAAAGCTTTGATAACAAGGGGCATATTTTAGCCTAGTCAAAAATGTATTTGGTTAAATAACCTACACCCAATGTTTCTTGATCAAATGGCCTTCAATTTTAAAAAAAATCTCACAAGCTAATTTTTATTTTTTTATTTCCATAATCAAATCTCATCTCTTCATCTTCAGTTTGTATAATAGCATCACTATTGTAATCCTAATTAAATAGAGAGAAAATGATTGGCACATTTTCGCATTAACAAAAGCGAAGAATTTAGATCTAAAATGAAGAAGGTACTGTTGATTTATTTCTAGATCGAATTGATACATATTTCATTTACTACAGGAATTTTGAAACCTAGACATGACAAATGAATACACGTCAAATATATATATAAGGAAAAAAAAATCATAATGATTTCTTTCAAAAGTCAATGAAACAATAGAAGTGTACGATATGACTTAGTCCATTTTTGCAGTAGGCACTACCATATATGTCAAGTCATGCTTAATACTTTCATAATGAATGATGTTCAGTGCATCATACGTTGGTTTCTTAATTATCGGCCCACCTCAACAATAAACAATAAAAGCTTTGATAACAAGGGGACAACTAGGCATATTTTAGCCTAGTCAAACATGTATTTGGTTAAATAACCTCCACCCAATGTTTCTTGATCAAATGGCCTTCAATTTAAAAAAAATAAAATCTCACAAACTAATTTTTATTTTTTATTTCCATAATCAAATCTCATCTCCTCATCTTCAGGTTGTATAATAGCATCACTATTGTAAATCTAATTAAATAGAGAGAAAAGGATTGACACATTTTTGCATTAACAAAAGCAAAGAATTTAGATCTAAAATAAAGAAGGTACCGTTTATTCATTTCTAGATCGAATTGATACATATTTCATTTAGTAATGGAATTTTGCAACCTAGACATGACAAATGAATACACGTCAAATATATGTATAGGGAAAAAAATCATAATGATTTCTTTCAAAAGTCAGTGAAATAATAGAAGTCTACGATATAACTTAGTCCATTTTTGCAGTAGGCACTACCATATATTTTAAGTCATAATTAATACTTTCATAATGAATAAGGCTTATAGCATCATACGTTGGTTTCTTAATTATTGGCCCACCTCAAAAATATACTATAAAAGCTTTGATAATGAGGTGACAACTAGGCATATTTTAGTCTAGTCAAACATGTATTTTGTTAAATAACTTCCACCCTATATTTCTTGATTAAATGGCCTTCAATATTTAAAAAAATCTCACAAACTATTTTTTTTAATTTCCATAGTCAAATCTCATCTCCTCGTCTTCAGGTTGTATAATAACATCACTATTGTAATTCTAATTAAATGGAGAGAAAAGGATTGGTACATTTTCACATTAACAAAAGCGAAGAATTTAGATCTAAATGAAGAAGGTCCTGTCGATTCATTTCTAGATTGAATTGATACATTTTTCATTTAGTACTGAAATTTTGCAACCTAGCCTTGACAAATGAATACACGTCAAATATATTTATATGTAAAAAAATTATAACAATTTCTTTCAAAAGTCAGTGAAACAATAGAAGTCTACAATATGACTTAGTCCATTTCTATAGTAGGCACTACAATATATGTCAAGTCATGATTAATACTGTCATAATGAATGAGGCTCATAGCATCATACGTTTGTTTCTTAATTATCGATCCATGTCAACAATAAAGTAAACAATAATAATTTTGATAACGAGGTGACAATAAGTGATGAGAATTGTGGAGGGCAAGCTAACAAGAATCCATTGTATATTTTAGATTGATACAGATCGATTAGAAGAGAAGATTATAAACCATTAGAAAATGAAAGTAATATGAAGTATGTGCAAAAACGTATAGGATGTACAAAAAATGCGTAAAACTTTTTGCTCGGTTGTTTGATTTTCAGCCATGACTACAATCCAGAAGCGTCTTTCGACTCTGCAAAAGTTTGACGGATGACTTTGTCTAACTTTGAGGCCAAAATCGATTGTTTAGGAGTCTATTTTTACATTTTTATGTTTTGAATTAGTTGAAGGGTATTTTCGTTATTTGTAGTATTTTAGTTTTATTCAGATTTCTTTTGTAGTTTTCTAGTTTATATGAATTTGTCTTTAGAATTAAAGTTTTGTTTCGATTATGAGTTTATTTAATGCTTATAAAAGGTACATTTCTTATACAATAAAGATATTAATTTTTTGAGAAGTAATCATAATGTGAAAATTTTCACTTTCTATATAGTCCTTAATTGAAGAGAACTTGTCAAATATTTTCAATATTTGTGGCATTCAAACTATCTAAATTTACCAAAGATTCATACTATTTGTGACATCCCACAATTTAAGTAACGTTGGTAAGTTTTGTGATCATGGGATTAAAATATTTTCTGTGATTGTCTTGATTCTTCGATCGAATAATTTATCGGGTCAAGTTTCAAAAATTCTTGGGTTGTGATTCAATCTTTTGTGGATTTTGGAGCTACTATTGTTGCCTGGGCTCACATCAGTAAGGCATATTTTTAAACTAGTTTGATTGGGACATCTAAGGGACTATGTGTAAATTAGAAGTTGATTTCTTAATTATCGACCCATCTCTGCAACAAACAATAGAAATTTTGTTAATGAGGTGACAACTAGGCATTTTTTTAAAAACTGGTTTGGTTGTCACCTCTAGGGTACCATGCATAAATTAGAAAGACAGTCTTGCAATAGTGTTAATTATGGCTTATAAAATAAAGATTAGTCATGTCGATACCCTTTTGCGAAGCTGGCCTAGCATATAAGTCATACGCTACTGATGGCCCTTCTTGATTCCAATACAGTGCTTATGAACTTGCGTAAAAAATAGTGCAAGTCCCTTCTTATTTCACCTGCCAAAACGTACAACACTAATGCAGAGTAGTTGCTTGTTGAACAGGGCCACGCTTCAACAGTTGGCGCCCAGCTTTATTCTGAAAGCATTGCCTCTTTAAACACTTCCAAAGGAGACTTTAGTCAAGATAAGATGTTCATTGACTTAGCCGAAGACTTACAGACTATATAAGAAATCATCTTCCAAACGTTTTTGTACAATGCTTAGGTTGTAATTCTGTTACTAAAATACAATCTAGGAAAAAGAATTATAACTAAATTCACCATGGGATTGCATATGCTTTTGCTGCAAGCCCACTTCTTTCTAGCAATGCTGCTTATTTTTGTCACAAAATCACAAACAAATTTCCAAATAGCAAAGCCCAACTGCACGGATCGTTGTGGAGATGTAAGTATTCCCTTCCCTTTTGGCACAAGGGAAGGTTGTTACCTTAGTGAAACATTCTTAGTCACTTGTAATCACACCCACTATGATCCTCCTAAACCATTCTTGAGACACTCAAACATAGAAATCACAAACATATCCCTGGACGGTCAATTGACTGTGTTGCAATTCATAGCGAAAGAATGTTATAATAGGAATGGCACCGAAGCACTCTCTAACAACCCCTCTATACGGTTCAAAGAATTCACAGTCAATAATACCGCAAATAAGTTCACTGTTGTAGGTTGCGATACTTATGCTTTCGTATCTGGGAGCCGGAATAACAAGAGTGGTTACCAGACAGGGTGCACTTCCCAGTGTGCCAGCAAGGATGATCTGGAGGACGGGTCATGTTCCGGTGTAGGCTGTTGTCAGGCGTCTATCCCAAAAGGGGTATGGGAAGTTGAGTTGACATTGAAAAGCTATTCTAATTTCACAGAGAGCTATGATAATCACACCACTACCGTCTGGGACGTCGATAATTGCAGCTACGCATTTCTTGCTGAGGAAAGTGCATTCACTTTTTCTCCAAATAGTCTTTCAATTCTGAGGAATGTAGAGGAGCTTCCCATGGTGGTTGACTGGGCAATTGACAGAGGAACATGTGAGGAGTCTCAGAAGAACATGTCTAGCTATGCCTGTAAAAGCACGAATTCCAGTTGTAAAGGAACCGATAATGGGTATCGTTGTTATTGTTCAGAGGGTTATGAAGGGAATCCATACCTCATTGATGGTTGTAAAGGTATTAAAGTTTGATTACCTGTGTATTATCTAGAAATACATCATGAATTGTTTGGCCACGTGTCTTTTAAGATTTTAAATTCAATTTTTCTTTCCTTTGAGATTTCAATTTCGCTTTCTTTCACGTTGTTATTTCTTTTTTTCTTTTTTTTTTTTTTTTTTTTATATTTTTTTTTTATAAAAAAAAAAAAAAAAAAAAAAAAGAATGTGAAAATTCAAATCTCAACATTTGTGAGAAGGACCGATGTCTAAACACAAATGGGAGTTTCAAGTGTTTTTGTACGAAAGGTTACAAAGGAGATGGGAAGAAACATGGACGGGGTTGCATCCGTGGTCAATCACTTGTATTCAAACTTGTTGCAGGTTAGCATGCTCTCCATTCATTACATTTCACCTAGGATTTAGAATTATCTCGGTCGATGATCCATTTTTCAAGCTGGGTGATTTTACAAAACATTCTTCCAACGAAAGTACACTCCTAAGTCTGTCTTCATACTCGAATTGGGTGCCTATATTGATGATGATTATAACAACGACATTAGCTTAAACTCATTCGTAAAATTGACTTGAAAGTGTAGTGTGTTCACGTAGCTATAAACCTACAAACCGATTCTTAGTTAGGGCCTGCTTGGGAGATTCGGGAGTACCGATTAGTAGCGATTTTTAAATATATGTCCCGTAGTAAAATTCTCAATTCATAATTTCTCGTGTGTGTGTGTGTGTGTGTGTGTACACATAAGTGATTTTATTTATAGGTAATTTTATATATATATAAGTTAACATTTAACTTAAAAAATTAAATAAAGTTAAATATTTACTTATGAGTAAATTTTATAATTATAAGCTAATTTTATACTTTTTATATAATTTTAGGTGGAACTTTTTTACTTATAAGTAACCTTATATTTAATAAGTGAATATTTATCTTATTTGTAGTACTTTTATTTTAAAAGCAATTTTTTTACATGAAAATAATTTTTTAATTGTAACGTAATATTTCTTATTTTCTAAGTAATATTTTACTTTTAAGCATTTTTTTTTAACTAAAATGTAATTTTTTTTGCTTATAAATAATTTTTTAGTTAATATTTTTTTATTTACAAGTTAATTTTGAAGAAAATATATTTGTTGAAAATGATCATTTTACAGAGTTTAAAATTAGAAGAGAATATGAAAACAGCCAAAACCCGCTAATTTGATGGGTTGAGAAGATCGATCAAAATTATATTCCATCAGTTTTGGGCGGTTTTTAAAATCTGTGTCCAAAAAAACTGGCAAGCACCAACTTTTTCAACTGCTCGTAAACGGTGCCACCAAACCCTATTGTTGTACCAAAGGAGTATTGCTTTTGGTATTGAAGTTTCATTTTTTATATTAAAATTGTCTAAACCGATGAACAATGTATCTAGCTTGCCTACATCATCATCATGTGTACCTTTTACTCTCCGGCTCATTTGTTTAATAAAGGGAAAGGATTGAAACTAACCTAAAATTTCAATTACAGGGATTTCTATAGGAATTACGGTTCTTATACTTCTTATCTGCTGGTTGCTCTCAATACTCAATAGAAGAAAGTTGAACACAATGAAGCAAAAATTCTTTCTTCAAAATGGTGGCTTATTGTTGCAAGAAAGACTCACCCAAAGACAGCAATTACCAGTTATTGTAAATATATTTTCTTCAGCGGAACTCAAGAAGGCAACGGACAACTTCCATGACAGTAGAATTGTTGGTCAAGGAGGCTATGGCACTGTATACAAAGGCTTGTTAGCAGATAATCGACTAGTTGCCATCAAGAAGTCCAAAGAAGTTGATCCACAGCAAGTTGAGCAATTTATCAATGAGGTGATAGTCCTTTCCCAAATCAACCACAGAAATGTTGTCAAGCTCCTTGGTTGTTGTTTAGAAACGCAAGCTCCTCTGCTAGTCTATGAATTCATAGAAAATGGAACCCTATTTGAACACATACATAGTAAAACAAAGGCGCGTTCTCTTTCTTGGGATATGCGATTAAGAGTTGCTGCAGAAGCTGCTGGAGCGGTCGCGTATTTGCACTCTGCAGCTTCCCCTCCAATCATACACAGAGACATCAAATCAACAAATATTCTTTTAGACACTAGTTTCACTGCAAAAGTGTCTGATTTTGGAGCATCAAGATTGGTTCCACTGGATCAAATTCAATTATCTACAATAGTACAAGGAACCTTAGGATACTTAGACCCTGAATACATGCAAACGAACCAATTGACTCAGAAAAGTGATGTTTATAGCTTTGGAGTAGTCCTCATTGAGCTACTAACAGGAAAGAAGGCATTGAGCTACGACAGATCAGTAGAGGAGAGAAGTTTAGCCAACTATTTCCTTTTAGCACTAGAGCGAAGCTGTTTATTCCAAGTTCTTGATGACAATATTATATGCGAAGGAAATAGTGAGGAGTTAACATCGGTTGCCATGCTTGCAAAAATATGCTTACATGTTAAAGGGAAGGATAGACCTAGTATGAAGGAAGTAGCTAAGGAACTTGAAGGTCTGAGATTAGCAGGAAAACACTCGTGGAACCAAACAGAACCCAATGAAGCAGAGTCCGAATCCCTGCTTTCTGGGAAAATGATAGCCTTTGCAATTGCAAATGGTGATGGTAGTAGTAGCACAGCTATTGGATATGATAACAGCAGCGATCATATTATTTGGCCTATGGGTGGTGGGAGATGATCTGTAGCATTAGAATCAGTATGGAGTAAGGTTATATAGAACTGGCAAGGTTAGCATTACTTTTGTCGAGTTATTTTATGAATTCATCTTTTGTTAGGTTATTAATCTATAAAATAAGGATGTGGATTGAGGTTATACTGAACCTGTAAGATTAGCAATATTATTGTTGAATTGGTATATGACTTCTTGTATGGTTATGATCTGATAGATCTTATTTTATTGACAGTATTCCTTGTTAATTAGTTTCTAGTATAAGCATATACTGTTTTTGAAATTATGGGCAGGTATTACAGCAAGGAGACAATAGCTCTCATTTGGCATGGACTTTCTTCAAATAGGCCAAAAACCATTTTATTTTTATTCTAGACTTGATTTCGACAAGTGGAAACTTTTCAACCTTATTATTCTCTGAACAATGTTTGTAACCAATTGATAGTGTCCAATACGTTTTCTCCCACCTTATATGTAAAATAAGAAAGCATCTAAACATGGTCGATATTGTGCTAAAAGTTCTTCTAATTTCTTCCTAATCATATTGAATAAACCATGGTCCCCCGTGGTTTGGCGTAACCATCAGTATTGTTATCTTGGAGTCCAATTGAATCCATAGTTCCTCTATCCCCTTGCAAGACACAATTTTAATACGCTTAGTTTCAAATTTCTGCCTCAGTGCTTGTCCCCATTCCATAGTTCAAATGATTGCATTAAATAAAAATGATGCTCTTATGTGTAATAAAACTAGAAAGTAAAAAAGAGAAAGCTTAAGAAATTGAGGAAACCTAAACCTTAATGTTTCAGATAATTTAATATCAAGACAAAAACATATGTTAAAAAATGCAAATTTATATCTAATTGACAAAGAAAGATTTTATTAATTTCTAGAAGGGAAAAATAATGTTAGTGTTTATCAAGAATTTTGGGCGTACATTATTCAAAATCAACCATACTTATGCTTTTGCACAGGGGCAAAGGATGAACCAAAAATATCGGACGGTGCACAGTCACGTGACAACGAGAAAGATTTGGAGAGCGGTTTGTTTTCTGGTTAAGGCTGTTGCCAGACGACTATCCAAGGAAGAGGTACGAAGAAACTGGCCAAAAATTTGGCCAGATTACAGACATGCCAGCACACCCACACCAGCAATCTTTCTGGCAGACAAACTGTGCCTGATTCAAATTTTTTCAGTTTCGGTTGATGAATTCTAGATTCAAATAGAAACTTATCGATGTTCTAAACTCTATGGAAAACAAGAACCTTGTTGGATGAAAACAGGTCGCCCATGTGGATTGACTCGATCCGATTTGCATGGACATGAATTTTGGAGGGAGCAGTTGAAAATTGAATTTGAAAATTAACCTTCTCTCCACCAATAACTCACAAGCAACTTCCATTACTCTATCATTATGAAAAGCAAATATAAAAATTCGGGTTAAGAGGAGTAGAAGGAATCTACATGATGAGAAACGCTTAATTTTGGAAATATTACATCTCAAAATAGGTTCTTAGATTGTAGCTATTAAATTCCTTCCTTATTGATCGAGTTTTTGACCAGAAGAAGAGTACTTGGTGAGTACACAAGGTCAAGAAGACAATTAATTCAACCTCTAGTTTTCTTAGGATTTCAAGGAAGTTTCGATACTCCAAACTCAATTATAAGCATGTAAGCACATTTTACATCGACATCAAAGTCAAAGTAGGTTATTTTCTTGCTTAAACACATGCTAAAAATGTTTTAGAATGATTAGAATGCATGAATTCCGATTTTTTTTCAAAGCTTCAATGTCGTTAATGGCAACTTTTGATATTCTTCATATAATTCATGAAATTTATACTGTATGTCCATGATATTATGGAGAATATATCTGAAAAATTTCACTTCGTTTGGATTTGTATTTTAGGAGAAAAATCAAACCCTAATTGAGAAAATCGAAACTTCATTCCACGATAATTTCTTTCACGTTAAGTTCCACACTATCCATTTTATACGGTTGGATAGATTTTCTAAAAACCTTTCAAACAATATAAAGAACATAATTTTTGGCTTTGAATAGAAGAAGTTATGGACTTCCGAAGTTTTGTCAGAAATGTGGAAAATCTATTTTTTTTATGACAATGAACAATACCCGAGAGGGGGGAAAAACCTGAAATAGAAACTGTTGCCGTATTGGTGTTAAAAAATTGCATGTTGGTCCCTCAAATATTTCAAGTGCAATTTGAAAAATTGCATGTTGGTCCTTACACTTTTGAATCTTGAATATTCCAAATGCCATTTGGAAAATTGTACGTTGGTCCCCACACTCTTGAATGTTAAATATTTCAAATGCCCGAAAGTATTTGATATACCACATTTTCTTTACGTTCATGAGTGGTGGATCTTGAATAGGTTATACAATCCATTGTGACTAGTTTTCAATTATTGTACTTGATCAGATATTGCTAATCAACGCACATTTTTAGCATCATTAGATGGGAAGCTATTAGAGCACGGGCTGTGAAACGTGTTGAAAAATTACATACTTATAGAAACTATGAAATGAATCCAGGACATAACCTAGTACAACACATAAAATATCCTAAAGTAATGCATCGAGAAGTGATACATTTAGGATGGCCTATATGTGAGATGGAAAGCAATGCTTCCTAAACATTGGTATGATGTTGCTATTGAAATTTTGAATAATTCACCACCTCTACGCTACAGTTATTTGACCAAGATCTTGAAGAGGAAATAGAATTCAGAAAATGAGAATTTTATAATTAATTTAGATATGTATGATTAGTACAAAATTGTTGAAACAATGTCAATATGAATTTTTTTCCATGTTTCATAGTTATTTAAAGATGTTTATTAAGATCGCATGTACATATTTGACATTTTGATATTTATGTATATGTTTCATATTTGTCAGATGTATTCAAAATGTCTTGCTTATTTTGTACTTGATTAATCTTTTAATTTAGTAAGAGTTTTAAGGTTGAAAGAAATTAAGTAATTCTGACATAAACCTATGATTTTGCACTATGAAATTAATTTTGTTATAATGTAACATTAGGATAATTGATGGTGATTGGGAACTTAGTTAACTTTCAACTCCATGTCTAGTATGAAATTATCATAAAGCTTAATTTGAAATAATGTGTGCATAAATGGATATTTATATAATTGTCTTTAAAATTTTGACAGGCCATGGCGTTTAAGAATATCATAGTTGGCCTTAATAAGGGTGACAAATTGAATGACAATAACTATGACACTTGGCGCCATAAAATTCGATATTTGTTTGAAGAACAGGATTACCTTGAGGGCATTAGCCATGTGATGAAAGGCCCAGGGATAAGTCAAAATGTTCAACAGAGAAGGGATCAGGAAACTTACCAGACGTGGAAAAAGAAAGATTCCACTGCTCATGCAATTTTGGTAAGTTTCGTGATGGATGATCTCATTCATAAGTGTGAGCAGTTTTCGACTGTTCATGACATCTGGACATATTTGAGAGAGAAATATGGTGGTATTAGTGTGACTAGACTGACGCAGCTGACTATTAACTTTGATACTTACAAGAAACTTCCTAATCACAACATCACACGGCATTTGAGGACAATGTCTACTATAATTAGGGAGTTGAAGTCGGCAGGGCACATACTCTCTGTTGAGCAGCAAGTTCAGGCTTTGATTCGTTCCCTTCTTGATAATTGGGAACATCTGAAAGTCAATTCTACTCACAATAATAACATCAAAATTTTTACCGATACTGCCCACTATGTGGAACTAGAGGATGAGAGCCTTAGTGCAGCTAAATCTCTAGGACAACCTTTTGTGGTTGAATCTAGTTCTGGGAAAGCTTCAAGCTTTAAGCGTAAGAAGAATTGGTTCAAATGCGGAAAAGGAAGGGAAAAAGAAACTGAATAGTGACCTAAAAAGAACAAGCCTAAGCGCAACAAGAAGGGTAAATGGTTTGGAAAGAAGAAAGATAAGAGCAAGCTTAAATGCTTCAACTATCAAGTATTGTATCACTTTGCTCGGGAATGCCCTAAGTCAAAAAAGGTAGCTCTTATAAATACTTCTTTTAGTGCTATTTATGTTTCAAGTACTATTATACTAACTAAATCTTATGATATGTGGATTATAGACTCAGGAGCGACAGACCATGTAACCAGGGATCGAAAAGCATTTGTGGAGTTGCCTTTCAAATTTAATTAATCTAATAAGGTAGGTTGATGAGGTGCTTTTGCTTTTATCCCGTTTAAATTATTTATTTCATGTTATCGAATTATTATGCTTATGAAAGTTTAAAGATATGATATGATATGTATGTTATGGCCATTCGGTGCCAAAGATATGATTTTTATTGAGCTCTTACCAGTTTCTAAAGATATGATGACGATATGATATTTTTGATGCATGATTTAAATATTTTTTATTAGGGATTACACCATGGTTTTTTGTATCTTGTTGGGTATTCCCATATACTTACCCTTTTGTCCCCCTACTCACAGGTTAGAAAGAGTCGTTGGTTGGTGGGCAATGAGGTGAAGTCATGATACTAGAAATTATGGAATTCAATAAAAATAAATTCCGAGTAACGCGACTATAGACTTTTATTTTCCACTTTACTTTTAATTTTTATTTTCATGTGAAATTTTTTATTTAGAATTTGGGACATGTTTCAATTGATTATTTTTAATATATATTTTATTTTTTTTATTGATAAAATTAAAAAATTTCATGTTGGAATGTTTGAATAATTTATGTAATTACAGAATGAAAGTTTTAGTAACAATTTAAATTGTTAAAATTTGGGTTATTACAGTTTTAATATCAAAGTTTAGATTCAATTTTTTGTAGACCCACATGTATTTTAATAATATGAGTTTTGAAAAAAAAAATTTAAGAAAAAAAAGAATGATAATAAAACGAGTTGTACAAAAAATTAAAAAAAATGACATGAACAGTGACGGTGATGTGACCCAAGAGTCGAGCCCGACGAAGGCAAGTGCGAGACGAGACCCGTTGATAGTCAATGGCGGACCGATGACGCGATCGAAGACGAGACGAGTCAACGAGGTGATGGGATTGCTCGTCAAGGCAATGCTTGAAGACATCATGTTCGGGACTCAAAATGGAGCAACTTTCATATTCGGGTCAAAAATCGAATCAACTTGGATCAATTTAATATCAAAGGTCAAAATCGGAGGGATAT